ATGGAAACTCCAGGCAAGTTCATGTTCATGTTGCAGTGGCGACAGGTGCCGGAGACCCTGCCCTGCTTGGTGAATGTCCGATGCCAAAATCTATGCCCTTCTGAGCCCATCTTCACACACACACATACACACTGCATCTTACATTAAAAGACTTCCCCCGCTGACCCCCAAACCAAACCCCAAAGAAGAAATGTGACCTTGGCACCTGTCCCAGCAGCCTTCATGATGATGGAATCAGGGCACGGGAAAGGGACACCCACAAAGGGCACACGAGTGGACGTAAGCTCCGTGAGCCTTCTTGGGCTTGCGGCAGCGCGTGAGGCCGAGCAAAAAAGCCGTTGCCACCTATGGAAACATGATAGATCTTCAGAAGGCAGCCAAGTCAACTTGGAAAATGCGAAAGAAATCCGTGCCCGCGCGCAAGCGGATTCGTCACACCTTGCATCCAAACTGGGACCTATATGATTCAGTCCTGCGGCCCAAGAAAGCCAAACAATACCTGCACGAACACAACCATTGTTTAAAAGGGTTTCAATTAGCTTAGACACGCACAGCCTCTTCGCAGGTTCCGTCCAGCATTGCTTCCAGGCGGCCCAGTGAATGAATGTGCGTTCGGTCGAGAACCACACCTGCCAAGGGGTTGAGACAAGCGCTGGGACTAGGCCAGACTTGTATGTGTTGGTTTACACCACAACATAAGCAGTGTGCTGAATAGGGGCTCTGGGAAAAATATCCAGTATCCATCCTATGTTGGTGTCCTTTTGGCGAACCTAACAATACTTCGCAACTAGCTATTTCCGGCACCTGTCTGAAGATTGATACCGTCGCTTGACAAAGGATGCACGCCTGCCCTTGGCTGTTGGCTAAACATTGGGCCTTAGGAGACAACATATGATTATCGTTACGTCAAACACACACCTGCAAGCACAAAAAGCATGCTCCACAAGCCTTCCTTATTTTGTGAGGCTACCTGGGATTGTGTGCTGGAGGCCAATTTGGAGCCACAGCCACCCACTGGAAAAGCATCTCGGACTGCCTGTGAACAACGTTGGAGCTATACGCTCAAAAGCAATCTCAAAATGAATTGCCAGTCCCATATTCATAAGTATCTCATATTTGTCTCTTTGTGTATACTACATGCCTCCGGTGCTCAAAATGGCGGGTCGGCCAATCGGATACTGTTTTAATCAGAGCGAAACCATAAAGGCGATCCCTGACACACTGTGGATGGACAAAATCCTGCACCACATTGAAACCATCGAACAAACAACGGTTTGTGGTAGCTCCGCGGGAATCATCATTCCAGGGTTCTCAGGTGGTGCGAACGGATTTCGTCCACAGTACCTTCCAGGAAGGACTCGCCCTGCAAATGGGCATGCTGACTCCAAAAAGTCCGGAAAAGCAAACCGAACCAAAACCAACCCAACCCGCCTTGGGCTCCAGCCGCACCGCCGGCATGGCTCTCACCTCGAGAAAAGGGCGATATCCACCGAAAAGCCAAGCTGCCTCAAGGGGTGTACCCTCACTCACACGTTGTCATGGCACCTGACAGGGGTACCTTTAAAAGGAAGCGGATCTTCCAAATACCCTCCCACAAATGCTATGTTAGTGGGAGGAAGGGTATCTGTTTTTGAGGGTTCGCCTAGAGTCTCCTTCTGACCCTCTAAAAATGATTGGTCATTGCCCTAAATAATGGTTGGTCATGGACCTATGTTTGATTCGGGTCATGGAGACTCCAGGTTCGTATTCTTTGGGATTGCTCGAAAGGATAACCAAAGGGAAACCACCCGTTTGGCGGACACAAACCCAAATGATACCTGAAGGTGTGAACGAATCATGTGATGGCACAGTGGTGCAAGTTGGTACATCTAAGGACCCATTCAAAACACAACATCATCGCAAAAAGGTTGACTAATTATCCACGGTCAAACTCACCCGAAACTCTCCTGCCTGCCCTGCCTTGGCCAGGTGATCTGGTGATCTGGTGATCTGGATGGGTCTCCGTTAGCGTCTGTCAACGGCCAGCAGCTTGCATTGTTGGTCTGGTTGCTTGTCCACTGAAAGTCATTAGCTGCACAAGGTGCGGGGCAAACACATGGCACTACATATGGCTGCGGGCATGGTATCAGCACAAACTGGCCTACAGGCCAGCAGCGGGAAACGCGCGAGTCCAAGGAAACGGGGCCAAAGCACATTCTTCCATGCCTACCCGCACTTGCCAACTCAGAGAGTAAGCAACCCGAGCCTCAAGTGTGCTCTACTTACTAGTCCGTGTCCGCATACTTGCAATAAGATAGTGGGAAGAAAAAAAACAGCAGTAAAGTGTCACTCCCTTCCACATACGCCGCTGAGTCATTCCTTCCTGCTGCAAGCAGAACAGCCATTCAAACCTCCGCAATGATGCCTCACTCACAAGGCAGCAACACCTTTTGGCTGATGGCGGCTCTCCAAACGCCGTCCCTCACAGGTCGCGGATGGGATAGGAACGCCACTCACCTCAGCTGGATCAACATGTCGCCTTTTGCTTCTCAACTGCCTGGGTGTGGTGCTCCTGTTTTGTGACGTGAAGCTTTGCTCGGAAGCCTCACCCTCCTGTCTTTCCACCTAACGGCCGCGCCGCTTTTTTTTGGCACAAGAACTGGCTGTATCTCCACATCTCTGGGTTGGCCAACCAAACCTAGGTTCCCATCCTATCCAAAAAAAAAACCACCAGACATGAGCTGAGAGCTGAGGAAAGGGAACATACCTGTTCTACAAAACAACTCTGGCTTGAACCAACTTCCTTTCACCCTTCCCAGATTTCCGGAAGCCAACGCGTTCCCATGTTGACACATCGCTCCTTCGACGAAACGGCGTTTGTGGTTTCTGAACTAGGATAAGGCAGGTTTAGTGTTCATTCTGGCTCGCCTGCGGGTGGTCTTAAGTTGGCTCCGTGGTGCAAGTGGTTGGTTGAGAGGAGGTTCAGGGCAGCTTTTGCCTTTGCATCCGTTAAGGGTTGGATTTTCAAGATTTACCATGGCTCAAACGAAAGCAAATAACACAAACAACTACGGCACCAACTCAAGAAGCCAAGGAAGTTGCATCTACAACATCAAGAAAGCCAACAAGCCAACAAGCCAACACGCCAAAAAGACAAAACACCTAAAATCAAAAAAAACAACGCCTGGAAAATCCCTAGCCTCTTGCCTTCCTTCCCTCTTTCCGCCCTGAGCAGGAAAAGAGCAAATCTCAGCATGCTGATCCAATCCGTCCGGAGCGAGACACAGGTGCCACACATAAGACGTCCCCCGCTTGGAGTCTAGTTGTTATGGGAGGCCTCCCGGTTTGCCCGAGGGAATATCGAAGTGGACAACCAATGTAGATTGGGCACTTGCTTCTTTTCAGTGACAAGGATCAGTAAAGAAGAACACCCCCGTATATGTCTTACAAGGGGAAGCAGCCTGAAATGAGAAATGAACCTCAAGAAACCTTCATCATGAAAACGCAGGCACCCCACCATAATGACAAACCCAAAAACAACTCGAAGACATGATGCACCAACCAAATGGAAGAAATGGACCAAAAACTAGACACCCAGAACATGGACACCCAGAAATGACCCAAACATTGACTAGGTCCTCCAGTAGAGGTTAGAATAAGGGTACCCTTTTGTCTGTAGTCTATTTTAGTATAACTTCACCTTTTTCGGTCGCACGCCCAATCCTCCGCGTCGATTTCGGCTTTCGGCTTTCGGCTGCGGGGGCTCCCAGCCTGGCTGTTCTTCCCAGGGCATCGGCCGGGGGATGCGGGCAGCTAGGGGGCCCAGGTAGTCGCAGACCACCTGGCGAAGCGCTCCGAAAGGGGGTGACCCCACGGAAATGAGCGAGTCCCGAATGGAACACCCCTATCAGCGCTGGAAATGCTGAGTTCCCGTTAGAGGGAGAGTAATGGTGCTTTTTTTCTGGGTGGCTTTCTTTCCCTAAGGCCGCAAGTACCTGAGTGAGAGGGGTCAAAGTGGGTCCAAGCACATCCTCAGGCACCTAGACCCTTTTGGGTTGGGACACCTGTGAAATTGCTAACAGTTTGCTCATCCTGAAAGCCAGCCGAAGGTGCTAACGGCCTGCGCTTATTCTGCACCGTCCGGCTCAAAACAATTCCATCCTAGGTGCTTTTTTTGGACAAATACGTGGATTCCTGGTAAATCACTGGAACCAAATTTAACCCAGTAGAACCAGTCTGACCACGGACAGGCATGTGTTCCGTCTGGGCAAATCACCATGACAAAAAATCCTCAGGCAAGAGAGCTCCGTCATGATTCGTCCAAATGGGTATGTCTCAAAGTCGGAGCACCAAACATGGCGATCCGCCATGTGCAACTCCATTGAACCTCACCTAAAAAGGGCTACCGAGAAACAAATCGCCCGTTGTTTTTCCACCCAAAAAATAAAAGCCACCCATGGCTTCCGAGGCCCTCTGAGAGCTAACCCCAATCCTACTGTGGATGGACGAAATCCTGCACCACTTTGAAACCATGGGAAACCATTGTTTGTTGGTATTTGTAGGGGAATCATCATTCCAGGGTTTTTTGGTTGGTGCGAAATGGATTCGTTCATCCACAGTATTCCACGCATCCTATCCAAAAAATTAAACCCGCCCATTCCGGGGCCCTCTAAGATTTAAGCCCAATCCATATTCCATTTAGGAGAAAAAATGGATTTGCCTGGTGGATGATTAAACCAGCAGGTAAACCAGGAATCGCCATCATGATTTTTCTACCAAAACAACTAAAAAGGACACCTATGCGTATCACGCATCACGCCTTCGGGTCGATTCGGATCGATCAACGGATGGAGTCGGAGGCCGAGTCGCCTGCCAGTCCTCGATGGTGGACTCCAGAAACTCGTTGAGGCTGTAGTTCCGGGTGCGGTAGCGCTCGCTCACCTCATGTCCCAAACGCCAACCATGAGGATAAGCGGTATCTGGCTGGGTGTCCAGTCCATTATGTTACATATTTATTATTTTGTTCTGTCTTGTTTGTTTGTATGTGTATTTTTTTTTGTTATTGAAAAATGTTATTTGTTTCATTTTTTGCAATTTTAAGTGTTTTTTTTACAAACATGTTTATGAATATATATATATATGTATATATATATATATATATATATATTGGGGGGGGGGGCGACAACATTAACACATGGCGCAACGGTTTTCCTTTTGGTTTCTCTTTAAAACCGCACAAAAAAGAGTAGACTCAAAGAAAGACACACCCAAGCGTTTCTGAAATTAGTTGGAGTGATGTGCAAAGCTTTTCAAATGTTTCATGGCTTGCTGAGTTGTCCGATGAATTGCCAGTGTGGTTGGTAGATGCCTGGTGGTTGATGCTTGGTGGTCAGCTGGTCCTTGGTGCTATTCTTGGCGCTTGTTTCGTCGGTGGTTGGCCTGTCCTCTTTGGCTGCGTTGGCTGTTGTGGCAACAGCTACACCACGGTCTGCGTGGCGCAAGCGCTACGGGATAGGGCCATTCCCCTCATCAACAAACCACGAAGTGGCTTGGTTTGATTGGAACTCGTTCCTTTGATCTGATCAAACGTCTGAGACAGTGAAGAGCTGATACAGCCTCCCCGGGAAGTGGACATGGCCCTTTGACAGGCAACAACATGCGTTGCTACTGTGGATGGTCAAAATCCATTTCGCACCACCCTTCAGAAACCCTAGAATGATGATTCGCCTGTAAATACCAACGACCCCCCAATGCCCACTTTTTCTAGGGTATTTTTTGGAAAACCCGGTTTTTCACGGTAAATATATACCGCCTTTTTCTGTAGAGGCTCGACATGATACCCTAAAACAAAAGGTGGGGTATGTGGAGTCGGGGCCATGAAACCATGGCTTCCGCTTCCAAAGTCCGTGTCTGGCCAAATCATTGGTCGCCCAAAGTTGAAGCCCTTACCCTCTCGGCTGCCCAGCCATTTAGGGCATCTGTGAGAGCCTGCGCACCATGGAGTCGAGCTAAATGCCCTCCCCTTGATCTTTGGCGAAACTTTGGTGAGGGCTCATCTCCATGTCATGAGTCAAGTAGTCGCGCGTCAGTTGGGCTACAAATCGTGAGGCTTGAAAAGAGAGAGTGGGAATAACTCAGCAGCCTCACCCAGCAAGTGTCATGTTCAGTCAAGGCACGCGACATGGGCAGTTTGATACCACCCCATTGCCACTTGTACAGTAGAAGAAGAGTTGGACCTTTGGGTTTGACAAGGAACTTTGGAAAAATAAAGTTCAAAGGGACCAACCACCCACTTTGGTTACTTTGACCAAACCTTGGCCCACATCAACATCAAAGAAATACACAGAAAAACATATTTCCAGGTTCTGGATCATATTTCAGTTTGCCCCAGCAAAACATCGTTCACCAAAAAACCTTGGCAGCACAGGAGCCCACGGGAGTTCTTTGACGTCCCCTGCCACGGGATTTCGCCGCCCTCGATTCCACTTCGAGGTGCCGTGGTGTGCCAGCAGTAGACCGGCGAGCCGGGCTTTACGCAGTTGTCCGCCACGATCCCTCAGCCAACACTGCGCATGTTCACCCGCAAGGACCCTCTCCACCCCCCACCCACCCCTCAAAAAAGCTCCACATACAAAAAAGTCATGAGGTTTCCCCCAGGCGAGCTCCTTATTCCTAACATGTTGCACGATGCAAGCTGCCTGTCAATAGGGTAGCTGGCATCTTTTGTACTCCCTGGTGCGGTGGGCTCTCAACGCCTTTCAGCTTTCGTATCCACTTGATGGCTGGGAGCTGCAGACAGGCTCGAGAATTACTCCATTGACAGACATGGCAGGCGGAATCAAACTACAGGGCTGTGCACCGGGCCCGAATGACCAGGGTGACATGCGGGCAAGTGTCCTGTTGGTTCTCGGTCATGCTTCACAAGCGCAAGGTTTGATGAGCAAGACTGACATCGAAAACTGCGGGTGTTTTTCCAGGGAGTCTCAAAGGGAAACCTGCAGTCCTTTCCCCAGTTCACCAACCCTAGAAAAAGAACTGGAACCCTTTTTGTGGTTGATTCTTTGAGTAAAGACCACCAAACCAAAAGGGGTCAACTCTCCAATTTAACACATGCTCCCCCAAAAAAACGTTCAACCTAGAGGAACCTCCATTTCCGGGCACCTCCTTTTTTGGGCTCCACGTTCATTTGCAAACGGACTCCATTTCCGAGCCCTCGGTCCTCGTTTTTGGGGCCACCTCCGGGACTCCGGGCGGCAGTCGGGGTACATGAGGTTCAGCTCCTCCAGCTGCGACAAGTCGTCGTGGAAGGTGGTGCCGCGCTGGTCCATGAAGACCATGTTCAGGCTCATGTCCCCGTGCTCCTACTGGCGAGCGACTCGGCACCATGCTCGAGCATGCTCGACCATGCTCCTCACAAAAACCCTGCCCCCACCCGTTCTGCCGGTTTTTTGTTTCTTCTTCTCGCCCACGGCGGGGGCCCGACATGGGGGAGGGGTGCCTTCAACGACTCCTAAACGGGCG